CTAAACAGTCGTGGTGAGGTGATACAAGTCTTTCATAAAGAATGGGCAAGTCGCGGTATTTATATTACTTACGGTATCCTAACTGTAAAATTAACCAACAAGACAGCCTAACCTCACCCGCCTGCGGCGGGTGAATCTCCAAAAAATAATGACGACGACATCGATCCTAGCTCGGATGACGACATGGAAATAGAAGGAACTAGTGAGTTAAATGAAATAATTTTACCAGGATAGAGAATGTATTGCTGTGAAGAGCCCTATATATAATACTTAGCAATTCGTTAAGATGAGGAACAATCTCAAATCAGATTTATAAGTTCCTCTTCCCTTTTTTACCCCCTCTAAAATCGATGTAGACGAGAAAAATACATCGGTCCAAAAAAGTCGGCTGAATCGAACTCGAGACCTTCCGCTTGCCGGGCGACTGCTCTTCCAACTGAGCTATTTAGACACCTTAACAAACCGCTATACCTCTCTCGTCTCAATGTATACTAATGAAAACACGCATATTACAGCCAGCGTGTGAAAATAACAAATGATATGGCTAGATCGCTCTTATTATAAATAACCAGGATAGAGAATGTATTGGTGTGAAGAGCCCTATATATAATACTTAGCAATTCGTTAAGATGAGGAACAATCTCAAATCGAGATTTATAAGTTCCTCTTCCCTTTTTTACCCCCTCTAAAATCGATGTAGACGAGAAAAATATATCGGTCCGAAAAAGTCGGCTGAATCGGGAATCGAACCCGAGACCTTCCGCTTGCCGGGCGACTGCTCTTCCAACTGAGCTATTCAGACACCTTAACAAACTGCTATATCTCTCTCGTCTCAATGTATACTAATGAAAACACCAGGGTTGGGAAAGTTACTTTGTGAAAGTAACTAGTTACAGTTACAGTTATTTCATTGAAAAAGTAACTAGTTACAGTTACAAGTTACCGATTTTAAAAAATAACTCGTTACAGTTACAGTTACTCTAAAAGTAACGAGTCGTTACTTTTCAGTTACTTTTTAAAAATAATTATACATTGTTTTAAATATAAGGAGCTTACATTTTATGCACAATTACAGTCAAGTATTTAAAAAAATTCTTGAATGTAATATTGATCGATTTGCTTGCGACTTTGCAATTAACATCAATGTATGAATGACCTTTATATACAACAGTAAAAATAGTTATAGTGTAAGTTACTAAATGGTAATCGCAAAGTCGCAAGCAAATCGATCAATTATTACCTTTAAGAATTTTTTTAAATATTTGACTGTGATTGGTCGATCTTAATTATGTGTTATATTATTTTATGTACACAAAATGAAAATTTTAGGTAAAAGATTAAATCATATGAAGATCCATATGCTACTGTTATCAAAATTTAATTTAATAATATAACGGCTACCATACTTAAACAATACTTTTAGCGCATGTTTCCAAAAAAAGTAACTAATAAAGTAACTATTAAAATAGTTACTAGTTACTAAAAAAATGTAACTAAGTTACAGTTACAGTTACAGATGGAGAAAAGTAACAAAGTTAAGTTATAGTTACCGAAAAAAAAGTAATGTAGCTGTAACTTCGTTACAAGTAACTCGTTACTTCCCAACCCTGGAAAACACGCATATTACAGCCAGCGTGTGAAAATAACAAATGATATGGCTAGATCGCTCTTATTGTAAATAACCAGGATAGAGAATGTATTGCTGTGAAGAGCCTTATATATAATACTTAGCAATTCGCTAAGATGAGGAACAATCTCAAATATTTAATAAAGCCCATAATAAAAAATCGTCAAAAACCATGGCTACAATACTAAAAAATGTCATGATAAACCCTCCTACCCCTCTAACACTGGAAATCCGAAACTACCTATCTCTCTCTACTGCCTCGCCCCACAATATTAAATATATCAGAACAGATGCTGGTCCTTACAAGGCTATCGTATCCATTTCTATTCCAGAACAAGGAATACAGACGACTAAGCCAGCATTAGATATGTCTGTTTCAAGGGATTTAATCAATCTAGAAGTTAACTTCTCTTTGCTTGAACGTGTAGGTAGATATAAATGGTCAATTATCAACGAACAATACCCTGTGTAACAAGCTCATTCGAGAATCCAAATACCAAATTAATGTTCCTTGGTATATGATCCACCGCAAAGTGGTTATTAAGGGCATCGAAACAAACGTCTCTACCGAAGAAATCTGGAATGCATTAAAAAAAGCAATCCCAATTTAATATTTGACAAAGTAGACATATATCGTTTTAAAACTAGAACCTATGTTGATGGTGTGGCCACCTTTGTTAATTCAACCACCGTTAAACTTAATTTGAGATCAGCTACGGTTCCTTCTAATGTTATTATGTGAAGATCTAGATTGTCAATGGCCCCGTACATTCCGGACATTAGACAATGCTTTAATTGCGGACAATTAAATCATGCCACCAAGTTCTGCAGAAACGGCGTCAAATGCCTTGTATGCGGTCAAGACAAACATCCAGATAATACCTCCTGCTCACACCCTCCTTGTTGCATAAACTATAATGGTACACACCCATCATTGTCCAAAATATGTCCAGAGGTCATCATTAAAAAAAGGCAACTAATTTAATGGCTACACAAAACATGGACTTTAACACTGCCAGGAAACTCGCTTCAAGTTCAAATTCTTCTATTGTCGGTGCTAAGAGAGAGGCATCATATACTACTCGGAAACAATCAATCAATGAAACTGACTTCCCGATCCTATCAAAACAAGATCTATCTCAAAACAACAGACACCCCCATCAGGATATCATTTCACCATCGTGTTCAACAAAACTTTCACCAAGATGACTACAGGAACATTTTCTGGTGACGTTAATAATATACTTATTGTTAATACCTCTAGTTCATCTCTAGAGGAAATTATGAATTTACTAACTAAAATATTTATCTTACTTAATAATAACTTTACTTTTAAAAAATCTATTGTTAATTTATCTAAATCTAAGATGATGCACCAAGCCTCGGATAACCCTCCAATGTTATAATGACTAAATCGCTTATGTTTTTACAGTGAAATTGCCAAAGTATTTTTAGGAAACATCTCGAATTGGAAAAGAGAGCCTCTACGTATGATATATTTCTAATATCCGAGACTTGGTTGAATCCAAACGACAGATTCCTTCTCAGGAATTTGACACCATTAAATCAGGGAGGTTGGATTGACGTGGTGGAGGAGTCGCTATATTTGTAAGAAGCAATATCAAATATAAGGTAAAGAACGTTCACTATACCGCTGATGATAAGATTGAGGCATATGCAGTTGATATCCAAATCGGCTCTAGTCCTATTACCATAGTTGCTATTTACAAACTTCCCAATATTAGAATCTTAATTGAAGAATGGCATCAATTTTTCTCTCAGTTCCATAATGACTTTGTTGTGGGTGGCGATTTTAACGCCCATCATCCACTATGGGGTAGTAAAGAGACCAACTTAGAAGGTCGACTTTTATCAGAGGTTATTTCAGATCTTAATCTACACTGTATAAATAATGGCTCTCCGACTAGATTTGCTACTCCGTGCTCACAGAAGTCCGCGATTGATTTGACAATATCGAATAGCATAATATCATTGACAACTCACTGGAAAACTATTAAAGAATCCTGGGGTAGTGATCACTTCCCTATTCATTTCAAAATTCTGGGCTCTACATACAATTGTTTAAGGTTTGATGTATCTAACAAAATTTACTCAACAAAGACAGACTGGACAGCAGTTCAATTATCTTTAAATCAAAATATTATGCGCTGTAGGGAAGTAGTGGATAATCCATCTCTAGATATTCAGACTAAATACTCGACATTTACTGCTATTACCGAAAATTGTTTTAATAGTCATACTCCTCGCAGAAAATCTACAATGTCTTATTCTCAAAATTCTAAAGCCACTCCATGGTGAGACGGAGAATGTGACAAACTGTCTAGGCTTAGAAAAGCAGCTTTTCTTAAGTTTAAATTTTGTAAAACACATAATAATTTTGTTAAATATAAGCAAGCTGATGCGATTGCTAAACGTCACTTTAAAATCAGAAAAAAACAATCGTTTTTAGAATTTTGTGACTCTTTGGAAAGAACATCAAAACTGAAATACATATGGCAGAGAATCAGAGCCATGGGCAATAAATATCATAGAAAGAAAGTTTCTAATGAATATAATGACACATAATCTATTATAATTTGCAATCAAATCGACAGTTTTGACCTTCCATGGTGTGCTCCTTGTCCCCCAACATTTGATCTTAACAACCTTTCTCACGAATATCACTTCTTGTTTACTCTTGAGAAATTGCTTTATGTACTTGACACCGTAAAAATCCGGTCAGCTCCGGGTCTTGACCGTATCGACTATCGTGTTTTAAGATTTCTTCCGATTAATCTTAAAAAATACCTCTTGGATATATTTAATAAAATTTAAAAAAAAAGTGATTTTTCTGTGGAATGGAAAAACTTCAGCGTTTTTTTATTCCAAAAAAAGGACTCGGATAAATTTCGTCCCATATCTCTGGCTCAATGTATCATGAAAGTTTTAAAAAAACTAATCAACAATTGGTTGTACAAATGGCTAGAAATCAATCATATTCTCCCCAAGAGCCAATCTGGCTTTAGAAACCATCACTCTTGTTTAGATAATTTATCAATTCTTACATCTGATATCTACTATAATTGGAACAATGATAAAGATATTTGTGCATTATTTCTAGACATCCAAGACGCGTTCAATAATGTGCTATGGAATATTTTGATAAACCAATTAATTGAGCTTGGTCTTCCTACTCTCTACATAAGATTTATCTACAACCTCGTTTCTAATAGAAAAGTCCACTTCAAGTATAACAAGGTAGACTGCATAAGAATTGGCCATAAAGGTCTTTCTCAAGGAAGTGTTTTAAGTCTGCTCCTTTACTCAATCAATGTTAGCGTTCTAGAAAAAATCATTATGAAAAAAACTAACACCCAAATCTTACAATTTGCGGACGATGTCTGCCTGTACCAGGGGGCGAATCTTACTCGGAGAGTAATTCTGGGTCGACCTGGAGGACGTGGCTGTACAGGTCCAACGGTCCGTATATACCACCGAGGGAGCGGTGGTGCGGGAGTACCCGGCGACGCGGGATGCCCCGGCTCAAACACGGAGCGGGGCTTGCGCCGAGATCGCGACGCAAACGCCGCTGGCACCGCGGACCACCGAGAGGGCTACATCGCCGGGTGGGACACCGCGGCTGCGTTTCGGCCGAGTCCGGCGGAATCGATTCCCCCGGAGTTTGCAATTGAGGGAGTTGCAGCAGGGATGCTGGAATTGTGGCAACCCCGCCCACGCGTATACGGCCTGTCCGCTGAGCCGTGTACATAAATTTTGTTACGGGTGCGGATGAAGGGACGTGACGCTTCGCCAGTGCCCACGATGCGGGCCTAATTACCGTCGGGCGGAACCGTGTACGGCCGGGAGGGGCCCGCGAGCACCCCGATCGCGATTGCCGGCGCGGGAAGACTCCCCGACGCGAAACGGGTAGCCATGGGCCCATGAGACCGACGGGAACTCCCTGTAGGGATCCCGCAGAGGCCGTGGATCGGGAACGGGAGCCATCGGCGAAAATCTGCTTTTCTCTTGGTTCCGTTTTCTTTTCTTCTTTTTTCTCTTTTTTTGTTTGTTTCTTTTGACTTTTGTGTTTGCTTTGCTTTTGGTCGTTTGTACCATTTAGTAATGTGGTTAAGTTCTCTGTGTATTATTTTTTTTCTTTTCCCCTTAGCTGGGGGGTTTACTTTTGTTGTTCCGCGGGAGGTGATCCATAGTATTCTGTTATGATATAAGGACTACCCCTAGCGGAACAAAATAAATAAGTTCTTACCGATTACAAGAAAATTTTTACTTTCCTTCCCTTAGTCCTAAGTTCGTGCGGTCGCGGAGCGGCTCATGGGAAGTTCGAGCGCGGACGCGGAGAGTTGAATCGTGGTGTTGCTGTCGGGGCAGTTTCGTGGAGAAGAGGCAGAGTTACTGTTTTCCTGTAGTTAAGCATATGAAAGAGAGTCTGCCGGAGAGGCGGCCAGATAAAGCATCCGAAGCAAAACCTCCTCGGTCCTCTTCTAGGAGGGGGAAGTTGTGACGTGACGCCTTTAGAGCGCCGTCACAAGGGCGGAAAGCCCGACCGGGTAAGACGCGACGGTCTGGAGCGCCCCTCGTATCGGGGAGGGTGCGATAAGTATTTTGTAAGACCTTCTTTGCGAAGCTAGGAGTTACACGCAGCATCGGTCTGTCGATGCGCGTGCCGTGAGGTTATTAGGGAGCGCGACGACGACGGTCCGAGAGGACAGCCGGGAGCCATTTTGTGCGGCAAGAGGAAACGAGACAGGATGTCCTAGGATACCGCAGCAGCATGGAGAGAGAGAGAGCCCGGGACCTCGCGCAGATAAGTATCGAGTGGCCGAAATTTAGTTAAATATCTCTCGCGCAATATTAATGCAATTGACATATTATAGAATACCGACAGGACTCAGAACAGTATCAACCACATGGCATATCCTGAAGAGGGACGAACGAAGGGCCCGGCCAGCCTACTGCCTATCCCGCAAGAGGAATGTCAGCCTGAGATATCGGAGAAAGCATCCTCTCGTTCAGCGTTCAAAATTCCCGGCGAGAAGTTACACCGGCTAGGGGGAGAGTCCGGGAGACCCTAGGACCCCCGCCATCGACTCTATCATCACGCATGAGAGTGCCTCCAGATCCCGGCCTATATACCGCAAGGACATCGGACTTCATCGCCAATTATTGTAAGTCGCCTCTCGGGTAGCCGTACGTGAGTGTTGGTTGGTGTCGTGGGTGGCGAGAAAGTAGAGTAATTACCGTGAGTACCGTATCGTCTCGTTATCGTGTTGTCTTGTGCTAGAGAGAGCGGTCTCTTTCTCTAAGTATCGTTACCGCGGGGCCAGCCAACTTCGAGTTTCGCGAGTCGAGCCCTCTCCGAGAAGTGCCGCCAGTCAATCTTTCCGAGAGCGAGAATCTTCTATTCTTGTTTGTCGGTATATTCCGAGTATCGTTCTATGTCACGGTCACCGTGCGTAAAATCTTCTTTGTTAATTATTCTGTCATTAAATTTACGGAATTTGCGTGCAGCCGTTCTCCGCGAGTGTGATAATTATTCCAATTTTTGACTCAGCGAGAGAGTCATGCGAGAGAGTCACGAAATTGCCGTCGCCTTATCGTTAACCGTTTTTTTGCATCGCGCCGTGTCTCGACTCGTATTTATGTGACCTCTGTGCATACCGCGTATCCGAGATACCGAGTTTGAACGACCAAACCGTTTACCAAATATTCCTGTATATTTAATTGTATAATACTGTCGCGAGATTGTTAGAAGTTGTTAATTACCGTCATAGTTAATGAAAATTCGATTAGTCGACTCTGGCAATCGATACCGTCGTACTGAAATCTTCATCCCTGTTTATTATAGTTATCTGTATCTCTAGCCTAAATGTTAACTTTCCTCATATAATTATATTGTAAATTTATATCTATTCCATGTATAATTGTTATTCTTAATTGTCTAAAATATATCTGTCTATCTCTGTCAACCTGTGTAAGTCTCTGAATACCTCTCTCTCAGCCATAGAATAAGAACAATCTAGACCCGCGACTCACTACCGAATTTCGAAGGGATATCTAAGGTCCCGTTTTTATCGCTACCGCGGCGCAGGTAACTGCGCCTGGCGCCCAACTTTATCGTGAGTTACCGAAGGTACTGAAATAAGAGTAGTTAAGCTCTTATGTTACCGATTTTCGACGCTAACGATCAGAATATTCAAATGGAACGCTCCCTTCTCCGAATTTGGCGTTTCGGAGCAGGAAAAGACGTTGCAAGAAAAATTGCCAGTTGATCGAGAGAAAGGTGTTCTGATTTATTTAATTTTTAAAATAACAAAGTTGACTTTTACATGTTTCAAATTTTGGGCGAATGTCGTCATAATAGAAATGCTGCAAAAATATTTACTGATTGCTTTCCGAATCAGCCTTTTATACACAGAATAATTTTTTTCAATCAATTATGTTTTTCTTACATCAATTGATTATTAGTTTCATTATTTTGTGCATAAAAGTATTAAGGTTACCGAAAACTGAATGTTTTACAAGATATATATATTTTATATGTAAACAAATTGTAAATTTTAAGCCTTATAACTCAAAAAGTACTTAAGAGAAAAGTACTTTATTATAGTGTTTTGGAAAGCTCTTGAGATAAGCTACAAGAATATATGCAATAAAAAATAGGGGGTTCTACTTAAGAAATTGAAGGTGACTTTCACGTAATCTTCAGGTAACCTTCAAAGGATTATCCAAGATCAAACCAATTATACTATCTTATGTCCCCCTTGAAGTCATACAACTTTTGTTTGAAACATTTTTCTCTGAAATGCTTGTTTTTAAGATATACGTTTGTAACGCTTTATTTTGAACACCCGGTATAATATACATGTAAATGTACATATGTATTGTCGCAATTTTCTCTCTTACCTTATATTTCTCGATTAATTTACACGTCATTTCTTCATCAAATTCCGGATATAAAATTACTGTGGCGCCCTGCACGATGGATTTTAGGTTCATTATTATTCCACTGAACCAATAAAGTGATGAGAACCAAATTGACACCGCATTGTTCAAATTTACATTTGTATCCACGCTGGCGATTATTAGACAGTAATTGGACATTTCGACGCCTTTTGGCATTCCAGTGGTGCCTGAGGAATGTATGATGCACGCCGTTTGCTTGATGTTGTCGATCTCGACATATCGAAAATTTGTCACTTCTGCATTGCTGTGATTATTCAAAATGTTTGAAAACGTGATCGCGTCTGGATGATCGCCAAAGACCACAACAATGGGGTTAAAGTTGCTTTCTTTTATCGCTCTCAAAATAATATTCGCGGGTTTCTCGCTGCAGAAGATCACTTTCGGAGTTGTCAGTTGCATGACATGCAGCGCGGTTTCTATAATAACAAATAGCACATTAATATTAGATCCTTCTACTAGATCCTAAGATTTTTCTTCCAAAAAGAAATCTCGTGAACGTGTAAATTTTGATTTTGATGAGCTTTAGATATGTTGTAAAATCTAGATAAAAATAAGACAAATTATTATATATCTTTTAAAATAAAATTAGTTTTTATACATATTTCCGAGCAAATACCATCGAAATTGTAAAAAAATATGAAAAAATGTGCAAATTTTACATTGCTTCCTCATCATTTAATTATCCAGCTTTCTCTATGAGCAAGCATTCTCTATGAGTATTTTCAATTTTGACTTCTTCATATGTAGAAAGTTTAATGAGCAAAATAAAATGATGAGGAAGCAATGTGCAAGTTTTCAATTTGCACACTTTTCATATAAAATATTTTATGTGGCAAATAGCTACTTATTACGCCGTTAGCATATATATTACAAAATTGTATATATTTATATTTATTTTTTAAATATATACATATATATAATATTTATATAAATTTAACATATATTAGACAGGCAATAAGAGCCAAATCGCGGATAACAGTGCGTTATCCTAAACGAAACTAAATTATTTCGTTAGAATTAAATACCTGTGCACAAGGCACCAAATTTTACTTGGACACGGCCAAGATATAAAATTGGAATAATCTCTACAAAAGATTTTTAATTCCACGTATCCCCTATTCCCCCTAAAGAAATAAATGCGAGAGAAAAATATAGATCCGAAAGTCGCAGAATCGGGAATCGAACCCGAGACCTTTCGCTTGCCTATAATATTTATATTTATAAAATTATTTATGTATTTATATTTATTCAATTTTACGTATTCAGTATATTTTTATAATTTATATTTATTAATTAGAACAATATATATAAGTTTTAATTGACGTAAATGTGACACTTATAAACATTATTATATATTTACATAAAATAAATTTCAAAAAAATTTAATTGGGAATAAAATAGATAAAATTATATTTGCACTTGTGCCATTGTTAGAATTTCATTATCTCTGATTATAATAATCGAATATAACGTAGCAATATTTTTAATTATCGTGACAGCAGAACTTACGCAAATCCATGCCCTCATACCACGGATTAAAGATCGCGTTGACGTAAATTGCCGCCAAGCAAGGCACAATGGAATCAAAATGATTGTGTGTGCACACAGTAACAACATCGCCGGGTTTGATTTCTTGTTTTTGTAGCCATAATGCGCATTTCACGACTTTGTCTTGCAGCTTCGTATACGTAACTACTTTCTCAGTGCATGCGTCCAACTATAAAATTATTACTATTATACATATTGTCTTATAATCAACAACCGTTCGTGTTATTGTAAATTATTGAATTATGATTAAAATGGCAATAAATAAATTTTGAGTATATATCTTATGTAGTTTTTCGAAAATGTTTACTCAATATAAAATGACTATGCAAGTTAAGTTCAATAATATTAGTAATAAATTGTATGATTGTAAGTTAATATTATTTTTAACTATTGTATTACCTATTCGTATAACAAATATTACAAAATTAAACATGGATACATTCTACTTATTATTTTCTACTTTCTGCTTATTACCGACATTATAGAATACAGTATAATAAATTAAAAATAATATAAATCAGAAAAATTTGCAATTAAATTTTAAACAAATTTAAGGTTTGGTTTATTTATCGGTTTTTTCATTATCAATTGTATTCATAAAAACCTACCTTATTAGAATAGATCTATACCCAGCCAGAAATGATATCGAATCAACGTCGATTCATTGTTGAATCAACGTCGATTTGATCATTTATTTCTAGCTGGGATGTTGTTTTCTTATAAACACATTGATAGAAGATAAACGAATCTTAATATTTATATTATTATTTATATCTGTCACGCAACAACTGCATTCTACAACTTTAAAAATTTTTGTACAATATTTTATGACTTTTTGGCAACTTGCTTGAATATCTTTGAAAGTTCTCTTTTACTAAAATATTCTACATTGATATCACGTGTAAAGATTGACTTACGTGTGCAATTTTATCTCCATTGCTTTTCATTTTGGACCATATTAACTCTGCCAGGCTGTTATAGTTAACTACAACAGATGACACTTTTCCTTTATAAACATTATTTTGCACAGTAAAAGCCTAAAATTAATCAATAAGTTTATTACTTTAAATAATTATATTTTTTCGCATAATAAATTTGCGTTTGTTTATATTAATTTATATATTACGTGTGTATGTATTATGTCAAATTAACGTAAACTTTATTTAAATAATATATAAAAAATTATATAAAAATAATTTATATTTGCTTAACTATGTTTTGCGCTTACCTTAGAATTATCGGCAGCCATTTTGTCGGAGATATTTGAATTTTAGATCTTGAGTATGTAGTATAAAATAAGATTAAAAACCACGTGTAGTAATTCGATATCACTGCACATAACAAATAATTGTAATTGATAATTTGTTTTATGACCGTTTTATTTAATTAAATAATAATTATTGATTATTAATGTGATATGAACATAAGATAAAATTATTTCCCAAAATAAAATATTTTTTTAATGTATATATGATATTAAAGTGAGAATGTGATAAATAATGGCACACACAATGGACATAATTTAATATAAAATTTATAATACTTCAGAATTACTGTATATTAAGATCTGTATGAGTTAATTTTGTTACATATTTCTGTAATAATAATTTTGTTGATAATTATATGATTCTAACAAATTAATTTATAAACTATTTGAGAATATAAAAGTATGCACAATTTAGTTTACATGCTGAGAACTATGTAACTGACTACTTAAATATAAATACTTTTTGCATATATCTAATTTATATTTTGTATATTTATTATCTTTTAATTTTGAAAATATTTATTTAAATAAGACATATAGATATTTAACTACTTTTGTACAGTCACATATGTGTAGACGCATGCTATTTTAATATATTGTAAAATATAGTTTTCTTTAAAACTTTAAGAACTCATTTCTTTCTTATTGTTCATTGTCACAAGTAGAATTTCCATACTCTTTATGTCATAATTTACTCAATATTCAATTATAAGTTATATATTTATTATATTCTACTTATAACAGTTATACTTATTATTTAAATTTATTATTTATAATTCCAACATTCAAATTTTATTTCGAATATGTGCTCTTAAATTAAATCTACAGCGTGTCTCATATTTAGCAAATCATCGATTTTCAGTAAATTTCCGACGTCATTTTTTAGAGACGATTTTTCGTCGGCGAAAATGTCAAGAGAGATCATTATATTTATTTGCATGTTCTCAATATTTATAATCATGTATCTTTGTAACTATAAGCCTTAAATTAAAATTCTATTAAAATAAATTTATCTGAAATTAACTAAAGAATTAACGGTGCTTTTGTTAATATTTTATTTCCATAAAATTTAGTTTGTAAAAAATCCTTCTTTTTCAATGGCTTATAACTTGAATTGATGCCTCGACATTTTCACTCAGAAAAAAATCATCTTCAAATGACGTTAGGAATCTACTGTAAATCAATGATTTTCTGGCTACAAGACATCCTTGTATATAATATAACTGCACTATTTTACAATATGGAAATATAAATTAACCAATCATTGATTAGGCTCTTCAAAATTTGACAACAATTTGATCGTCAAATCAAATATTATACAAGTTATTAGCATTAAATTATCATGGCTATACAAGGCTTTAGTAATTCATACATAAATTCAGATGATTAATAAGTCAATAAAGATTATTATTAATTACAAGCTAATTATTAGTTAAAAGTGCAATAACAATAAACGTATAATAATATACATCACTAGTAACACAACGCAATATTAATTAAATCAATAAATTAAATTATCATCACTATATATATATATATATATATATATATATATATATATACAATATAACGCAAAATAAACTTGTCAATAACATTACCACTATTCAGAAAACTTTCACTAACAAAATGAAGAATGTCTGTCCTAATAGCTTGTATAGAAATAAATTGTAATAAAAATTAATTAAATAAATTAAGCAAATCTATCGTCTAAACAAAAAGAAAGAGTAATAGTTAAATCTCAACGGCAATCGGAGCCTGTGCGGACGACATGCACAAAATTAATAAATTAAAATGAGATCTCAAATCAAACTCATTTATTAAATTCTAAACGTTTCGACCCACTTCGGGTCTTCTTCAGTAGCTGCAAAATACAAAGACCAAAATAAAAGATAATCGGTACAAACAGAAAATTATAAAACTCGTATACATACAATCCGCAAATAAATTAAATATCATTCTCCTCCTTATTCAAACCGTCCGGCCGTCGGAGCGTCTCCCTAACGGTGACCATCGTCAGGAAGGAAGCAGAGCAGTGACTCCCTTACCAACACTAATCAACATAGTATAAATTAAACGTA